GCCGAAGTCGGACGCTTAACCTACCGAGCCACCCAGGCGCCCCTCTCTTGACAATATTTTTGATGACGTGAGGTTTCAGAGGACTGTGGTTTTTAGAAGTTTGGTGTTTTCTCATTTTATTTTATTTAAAAATTTTTTTTCAGTTTATTTTTGAGAAAGAGAGCAAGCGAGTGCGGGGCAGCAGCAGACAGAGAGGAAGACACAGAATCTGAAGTAGGCTCTGTGCTCAGCGTATAAGCCCCAACACGGGGCTCGATCCCATGACCCAAGGACCATGACCTGAGCCGAAATCAAGAGTCGGTTACTCAACCGACTGAGCCACCCGGACGCCCCCAAAATGATTTTTATAATGGAAACATAAGTGTTATTAACAATCTGTGAGTTAAACCTCGGGGCAGCTGTAAATAACTGCTATAAAATTCCCTCTTATGAGTGAACGAAAATCTCTTTAAATAAACTCCTGATCCAAAGGCCAGATTCTGCAACAGTGACCAATCGCGTTCCTTTTCCACAGGACAGCTCTCTAAGTAGCTGAAGGTGAACACGTCGGTCCTCTCACGCCTCTGCAACAAAAGGCCAGGCCCTTCGTGCTCCTCATAGGACACGGCATCCAGCCAAGTCTCTCTGTCAAATGTGCGACTGGGGTTTGGGGGCGTTGGGGTAGCAACACCTCACGGGGCATCTGACGGGACGCGGCCGGCACAAGGTGCAGCAGGATTACGTACATCACACTCGGCCAGTGTGTCATCCTCGGGAGCACAATCCAGGAACATCGCTGCCTCAAGATCCCACCGGGAAGCCCAGCGCCCCCATCAGAACGTGAGGGACCGGGTGCCCGGGCAGCTCAGGTGGTTAAGCGGCCGACTTCGGCTCAGGTCACGATCTCGCGGTTCGTGGCTCCGAGCCCCGCGTCGGGATCTCTGCTGTCAGCACAGAGCCTGGAGCCGGCTTCGGATGCTGTGTCTCCCTCTCTCTCTGCCCCTCCCCTGCTTGCAGTCTCTTTCTCTCAAAAATAAATAAACTCAAAGAAGAAACTGAGGGACTGATCAGTTAATACTCTTCTACTGGTTCCTGCCCCATTTGAGACCGTACTCATTACATGAAGTTTCCACACCAGGTTATGTCATTTAAATATGTGACAAGGAGATCAAAGTGTTACTGAAGCAAAAAAGAAATCAGAGACAAAGACACAGACTTACACACACAAGGCCACCAGAGTCACTACCAGACTCACTATTGCTATGCCAGCAGTCTTGGGGTGTGGCTTCCGGCCAGCTGTGCACCCATCACTTTGCTTGTCCGGGTTTTCTTCCTACACGTTCATTAGTCACCTTTCAAATACTTGGTTCACATAAACACCTCTGCAGCTCCAGGATCTCTGTCTTTCTTCTTCTTTTTTTTTTTTTAAAAAAAGGTAAATACGGACGCCTGGGTGGCTCAGTCGGTTAAGCATCCGACTTTGGCTCAGGTCATGATCCCATGGCTTGTGAGTTCGAGCCCTGCATCAGGCTCTGTGCTGACAGCTCAAAGCCCGGAGCCTGCTTCAGACTCTGTGTCTCCCTCTTTCTCTGCCCCTCCCCTGCTCACGCTCTGTCTCTCTCACTTTGAAAAACGAATAAATGTTAAAAAAAAAAAAAATTAAAAGGGGCGCCTGGGTGGCTCAGTCGGTTCAGCACCTAACTAAGCTCAGGTCATGATCTCACGGTTTGTGAGTTCGAGCCCCGCGTCGGGCTCTGGGCTGATGGCTCAGAGCCTGGAGCCCGTTTCGGATTCTGTGTCTCCCTCTCTCTGCCCCTCCCCTACTTGTGCTCTGTCTCTCTTTCTCAAAAATAAACATTAAAAATTAAAAAA